CTATTATAGCTTGAAATAACTATTTTTAAGATAATTTCTTCCTTATATACTATGCACGATATACACTTGGGTGATCAAGTTTCTTTTCAATTCATGATTGACCTGGCAGAAGAATTATGGCAGTAGGCTGCCTTGACTTTCTGCAGTAGACTAGTGCCAACCAAGGCTATGGGAACTTGTCTGTGCTTTTGGGGAGTTGGGGGGGGGAGAAAAGATGGATTTATACCTTTACCAAGGGTATTTGGTTTGCAAACCAATGTAAGAAAATTCAGCTAAAATTTAATCACAACTATCCAATTTCTCATTCCATGTTAAAGTAAATAATATGTAATAATTAATATTATGATGTTATATTAATATATATAATAACATATAATATATTAATACCATATTTCATTGATATAAAAGTATATTATATATTTTTTTGTGAAATACATTGTTTGGTACTTTGGCATATATCATCAGTGATGTTTTTAGCAGAGGGGTTTGGGGTCTTTCAATATCATACCCCCTCCCACACTGAACAAATTAATACTGATCAGATATCGACTGCCATCCTTTACCTACAACTCTTCCCATACATTAATATAAAGGCATATATTAATACTATGTTAATATAAATATATATATTAATACTATGTTAATATAAATATATATATTAATACTATGTTAATATAAATATATATATTAATACTATGTTAATATAAATATATATATTAATACTATGTTAATATAAATATATATATTAATACTATGTTAATATAAATATATATACATTATGAAAAAGACAAAGTCCAACAATTATTTTTAAGACATTTTTTATGTTTATACATTCTTTTTATAGATACAAATATTTAAGTAAATGCTCTGTTTATAATAAATAGTGTTAACAACATTTACTGGCCTGAATGTCTAAGAAATTTTCATAATAATTGTCAGATTTTCTCCATTTCATAATGTGTGATGTCATTTGTTTACATTTGGATATGCATTGAGCAGATATGAATGTACAAGAGAAAATCATGGAGAATTGTAGTTTAAAAACAGTAAAATTGACCTTGCTAACCAAAACACTCATCTGTGGCTCAATCGGTAAAGCACGTCAGGCTATATGAAATTTCCATATAGGATACAGGTTCAATTCCTGTTGGAGGATGCATATTTTCTATGAAAATTTCCGAGACATTCAGGCCAGTAAATGTTGTTAATACTGTTTATTATAAGCAGAACATTTACTTAAATATTTGTATCTATAAAAAGAATGTATAAACATAAAAAAATGTCTTAAAAATAACGGTATATATTACTATGTAAAGGTATATATTAATACTATGTTAATGTAAAGGTATATATTAATACTATTCTTAATGTAAAGGTATATCTTAATACTATTCTTAATATAAAGGTATATCTTATACTATTCTTTATAAAGGTATATCTTAATACTATTCTTAATATAAAGGTATATCTTAATACTATTCTTAATATAAAGGTATATCTTAATACTATTCTTAATATAAAGGTATATCTTAATACTATTCTTAATATAAAGGTATATCTTAATACTATTCTTAATATAAAGGTATATCTTAATACTATTCTTAATATAAAGGTATATATTTATATTACATTGATATAAAAACTATATATTTATATTACATTAATATCAAACTATAATTTAGTATTGTATTAATACAAAACTATATTATATATTAATATGACAAATTGGAAAGTGTTTTTTGAAAAAAAAAAAAACATTCCAGTTTGTCATATTTTTTCAAAATACTGTTTGTTGATATATAAAATTATATATTGCAGTATTATATTAATAAAAATAAGTTTTTTTTTTTTTTAAATCATGTCACTTCAAGCAAGGGGATAAATCCACTAAGATACAGGGAGATACAGTGAGTGGAAGAAAATGAGAAGACATTTAATAAGGAGATAGAACAATAAAAGAATGTGATTCAAAAAGACAAAAGATAGTGACTGACGTTGTATTTGCATTTTTGAAGCTCATAGATGGCAGGGAAGCAAATAACTTGAAAAGGGTTCCACAGGCAAGAATTATGAGAAAAGGAACTATTAGAATAGAACTTTCTAGCTATTTCACCAGTAAAATGATGAGCCCTAGATGCCAGTCTCCAAGCACGCTTGAATTTGTGAATTAACCCTTGGCCAATATGAGACACAAACCCGCAACATTTGCATTGTCAGCTCTATATTCTCGCCAACCGAGTTAATCTTGCATACAGACATACATAAATTCATAGAGACACATAGCGATGTGTGTATGCATGTGTGTGTGTGCATAAATTACATGCCTATGTAGAGTTCTGATAATTTACAAACCTCATACATATCAGTTGCAATTACAAACCATTCATCCATTGAGTAAGCAGTCATGATGAACAAAACAGCAAAGCAAACCTTGAATCTAGCTAAAGTGCTGATCCAAAATGACTTGTCTTTTGCATCTAGATATTTTCGCTCTCATTCTAACACAAAGGTGGAAGCATCTGTCTGAGAAGAGGAGCCAGGGTGGAAACGGAATGGTGACTCACAGGAAAGGTTAGAAGAATGACCATTTGCTGAGCAGACACTGATCAGGAATGACAGGGGTCTTCAAACAGGACAGACACAGTGGCTCGTTCGATGCAACCCAAGAAGACTTGTAACCACCAGGTGAATCTGCTGGCATACACACACACACATATATATATATATATATATATATATATATATATATATATGAATAATGCATTAATATCTATAAACATTTATATGTGAGATATGTGTGTATAAATAAGGTGGTGAAAAGTTCTTAGCCAGACTAAGATTTTGAAAAAAAAAATTCTGATATTTTTTGTTTAATCAGATTTTGGGACATGGACTGAATGGATAGATTTTCAGTTGCCATTTGTTTATTACATATTCTTATGGCATGCATATATAAATTTGTGCATAAGTAGAATTATATATATATATATATATATATATATACACACACACAAACATTTAAGAAATTTGATAAATGGAAAACGTTTCAAGGCTTTATCAGATCCAAAAACAAAAGAAAGAAACATGTGTATGTTTATGTTTAAATAATGAATCCTTAAATAATGAAGCTGGCATTTCTGGTGATTAAAAAAAAAAAAAAAAAACAGAAAATGAGTGACTTTTAAAAAAAAAAAACTCGTGAAAATTTATTCTGTGTCTTTTCTTTATAATTCTTAGTTCATGTCAAAAGTTGTTAATATTTTTTTTCCCAGTTTTGTTGTTTTATATTAAAAGGTAAATGCTCATCTCATTTTCAGGATGGGTTAAAAGCAAGAAATTCATATAACCTCTTTTCTGAAATGAATCCAAGGCAAATTCTCATCCAATCCTTCAGAATGAGTTGAAAGTAAAAGATTTATGTTTTTAGGTCTATCCATGTTTTTTTTCCATGTTAACAATATGTGTTTGAAATAGGATATAGAATCCCAATAAAGATTTTAATAATTTTGTCAAATGAAAAACGTTTTCCATTTGTCAAATTTCTTAAAAACTTTGTTGGGATTCTATATCCTATTTTAAAGACATACAGACATATATTAAAATGATGGATTTCTCAGATTCAATTCCCAAAATCTGATCAAACACCATAATATCTTTTTAAAAGTCTCTTTTTTAAACAGAGAAAATTTCAATATATATATATATATATATTATATATATATATATATATATATGTGTGTGTGTGTATAAAATATTGAACAATGAGTGCTAGTGGTAATAAAATAGTGTTTGATATAAAATTTATACTACTAATAAATATACATTTTGTTCCTCTCCATTTGCTATAACTGAGTCTCATGCATGATTGCCACATGAGTTGTACCAAATGGCATATATATATATATATATATATATATATATATATATATATATATATATATATACACACACATATACATACTAAAAGCATAGTTTTATGGTATGCTATATTTATGGCTAAAAGTGAAACATGTTACATTGATAAATTATTTCCTATTTGTTCTTTATCTTATCACACACACACACACACACACACACACACTTTTTCTTGTGTTCAACCAAGTGTATTCTTTTCTGGACACAAAGTGTGTAAAAACTGTCCAAATGTTCTAGAATTCCGACCACTTTTGGTTATACTTTTAGACATTATCAAGGATCATTTTATTTTTGCTTTTTAATTGGGTGTATGGGTTGTGTGTATGTTTTAGAGTTATAGGGATGTTTTTAGAGTTATAGGGATGTTTCATTTTCCAAACACAGTATAGCCAAAAGTGCTCAGAATTACAGAAAATTTGGACAGTTCCTGCACACTCTGAGTCCAGAAAAGAAAACACTTGTTCAAACACAAGAAAAATGAAATAAAAAGCTTAATCATAGTACCTTGTCTTTCATCTTTAATGAAACATGAATAAATGAAGGATTGCTGCCTAAATACACAATATATAAGAAAATATTTACTTCTATTGTCATCTTTTGACAGTTTCCCCATTCCACACAGACTTGTCATTGTAAAACTTACATGTCTCTTCATGTTTGCTTGGTTTTATTTCAAATTCTCTTTTAACAACATGGACAACAAAATCTCCTTGAGATATGAGATTTCCTTTCTTTTTTTATCTTTCATCCGGGTCCTAAGAATTTAGTTGAAATAAATGAAAACTTACTCCTGCTTATATATTCACATACTTACTTATAAATATTCTTTTTCATATACACACGCATATGGACAGATAGGTAGATGAAAACCATGGGAGATAGACGCATACATGTACACTTTCTCTCGCTTTCTCAATTATGCGGATTCAACTTACAAAGACAAAAAAAGAAAGACGTTCAGTTGAGACGCAAGCTCATTTTTCTGCTGTGAGAAGAACAGGAAAATGTGTCCTGCCACCTTTACCAATTGGCCATAAAAGGAGATGAGAATTGAAGCAGAAGTTCTTTGATTTTAACTGCCCTGCTCAGAAACATCCAGACATGAAAAGATTGTATAAAGTAAAAGAGAGACATGGATAGAAAGATTTGAAGAGAGAGAAGAATGAGAGAAAGAGGAATGGAAAAGTGAAAAATGATGGGAAAATACTGAGAGAGAGAGAGAGAGAGAGAGAGAAATTGAAAAATAAAAGAAATATCTTTTGTTTTTCAATTTCTCTCTCTCTTATAACAGAAACAGAAAGAAATAGAGAAAGAAAGAGAAATAGAGAAAGAAAGAGAAATAGAGAGAGAAGGAAAGAGAAATAGAGAGAGAAGGAAAGAGAAATAGAGAGAGAAGGAAAGAGAAATAGAGAGAGAAGGAAAGAGGAAAGGAGAAGGAAAGAGGAAAGGAGAAGGAAAGAGAAAATGAAAAGTAAAAGAAATGAAAGAAAAAGAGAGAAGCAAAAAGAAATAGAGAAGAAGAGAAATAGAGAGAAACAGAGAGAGACAAAAGGAGAAACAGAGAGAGACAAAAGGAGAAACAGAGAGACAAAAGAAAAATAATGAAAGAAAGAGACAAATAAAAAAAAAAAAAAGAGAGAGAGATAAACAGTCAAATGAGAGCTATAGAGAGACATGAATAACAGAGGGAGAGGAACAGTTAAAGAGAGAAAGAGAAACTGTTATACATTTAAAGCAGCCAAATTTCTTCCTGACATGTTTCATTTTATGTGGCAGACCAGGACCCCGTAATGATGGCAATTTTCTTTTCATATTGTCAATTGCTTTCGAAACGTTGTAATTAAGACAGAAATAATAATTTTCCAAGTGGAAGAGCATATTTGGCAGACTCTCATGGCAAAAAATATCGCATGTCCTGAAGATGGCTGAAGTGTCTGCCCAAAGCACTAAAGCCATAGAAGAATTATTATAGCATCGTAATTATAAGAATCAGAAAGACATGCAACATGAAAAGACAATCACCATCATTAAGAAATTCTAGCTCATAACATTTGATTCAGACCAACTGAAAGACATTCTCTCTCTTTCTCTCCAGTTTTATATATACAGGATGCAATGGATAAATTGTCATCTAAATTATGCAAAAATCAAAATAACACTGACATCTCATTTTACCAGATATATTTGCCAAAATTACACAAAAATATCTTGAAATGCTAAAAATTAGATTTATTCAATAAAATCACCATTGGCTTCAACCACAGCCTCCAGATGACTTCAGAATTTCCTGAATCTCTTCTGGATGGTTTCCTCATTTAAGATGGTGAATGCTGCCATAATTCTTGCCTTCACTTTATCTTTAGTGTTACAAGGAGTTTTGTTGGTCTCTCGCACAATTGTGCCCCACACATAATAATCAAGGGGGGTTCTGTCTGGGGAATTAAGTGGCCAGATGTAAAGGATGATGTGGTTGCAGAAATTGCCTGACAGCCATGACTGGGTTCTCCTGCTTGTGTAGCATGGTGCAAAGTCCTGTTGACAGACATAAGTTCTTCCAGCCACCACCCTCTGACCTAGGGCAGCCCTACCTCTTCAAGGTACTTGATGTAGACCTCCCTGTTGAGCCTGAGGTCTTGTCGGAAGATGAATGGAGACATAACATCGCCATCACTAGTGATCCCTCCAATGATACTGTCTTCAGATTGACACCTGAGCACTCTGAAATATTCATATTTGGAGCTTCTGGTGCAAATGCCAAGCAGTAGAGCATGCGGTTTCCAAATTTCTGGTGGAGTGAATTCAGTCATGTTGCTCTTTTTCTCACAGACAATGACCAACTGATCCTACTATACTGGGCAGTCAGCAAAATCAAAAATAAACATGAATGAAATTAAAAATATAAAATAGCGACAATTTATCCATCGCACCCTGTATATATAAAGGAAAAGTTTTGAAAACGTTTACTATTTATTTATATTTTTTGTCTTTTGTACAGAGGTAGAGGTTATTCCTTGTTTCCAGTTTAGGATTGGGTTTCCTAGTTTCTTCTAAAATCTACTCCAGCTCTTCGCTTCTAATGTCTCTGCCTAAACTCTGAAACTTTGTTTACAGTTTATTTCCCCTCCACACCCATCAAGAGGATTAGATAGGTTCATGTTCCTCTCAGTCTTTTGAACAGGAATAAAGGTTTATCCCTTATTTCCTGGGTCTGTCTATATTTCTGAGATGAGGTATTATGTACATTACTTACATTATTCGGACTATTGTCCTCATCTTTGTCGCCATATTTATCACAACGTTTCGGCCGTTGTACACTCCGGCCTTCTTCAGGTGGTTGGACACATGACACAGTGGATAAAGGCATTGGTTAGATCCAGTGACAGGACCCAAAGAGTGTGAGTTCAATATCCAGTTAAGGCAGTGGAGAGCTTTCAGAGGGAAATTAACAGGAGATAACTGATAACTGACATCCATCAAACATGGCACGTGGAACTAGAACAGTCTACCCCAGTGAGCGAAATAAAGGGTTCAGTTCGAAATTCCAACCACCTGAAGAAGGCTGGAGCATACAATGGCCGAAACGTTGTGATAAATATGGCTACAAAGATGAGGACAATAGTCCGAATAATGTAAATAATGCCCTTATTTCCTGTTTAGGATTGGGTTTCCAGTTCCTTCTAAAATTTACTTCAACTCTTCTCAGAGTAGATAAGCTTACCTATCATCTGGTTTACACTCTTATTCAATCTTGTCTGTTATAACACTTCCCAGAGAGTTCAATTTCTAGACTTACTTGATTCTGGAATTTCTAACTTATAACTCACATGCTGTTGTTCCTCTTGCCAGCAAATATACAGTATTTTCTTACAATAGATCGTTAATTGCTTCTTCTTGCTTTCTTTTATTACATTGTCTTGAAGATCCTGCAGTTTTCTTTTTGTCTGCCATCTGGATATCTTATTGTATCCACTAGTAATAAATCCTGATAGGATTTCTAAGATAGCCCTGCTGTGTAGGTTGAATAATTCCAATGAGAAAACGCATCCTTTTCTTATTTCCTTTTTCTATTTTTGTGTACTTGCTCATGCAGATACAATATTAATATATTGGTAAACAAACATTGCATTCTGTGAACAATTCCATATAAATCTCATGTTGTACACAAATGCAATAACGAAGGCCTAACAACAGAAATGGACCCATGAATGTATTATGCACTCGTAAAATTTTCTCAAATGAGATTTTAATCAAATTATCAAGGATTGACTTGATTCACTTAATCCACGGGATTAAGCAGAAGATTTTTTTTTTTTTAATCCCATTTTCCTCACTGATGAGAATATTCTTTGCTGGGAATATTCCTTGTTCCTTAAAAGAAATAGGTCAACAAATAAATCCTTCCATTTAATATTGCAATTTTTCACTTTCTATATTGAAAAATAGTTTGGCAAGGTAATATCTTGAATTCATAAGGTTTGACAGCCACTGCCTGGATGAAACATCCATTTCTAGAGATAAAAACATTCACCTTATTCCCCCCCAGATAAAATTAGGTTTATCATTACAATCGCATATAAATAATATATTATTTATTAGCTGTTTTACATATTATATATATGATGGCTGTGACTCAATTTCAATGCATGATTTATACTCAAATACAAGCAGCACAGATGTGGCTTATATATATGATAGATACACAGCGTGTGTGTATAAATATCTTAGATACACAGTGTTTGTGTATATATACATAGAATAGATACAGATTTTGTGTGTGTGTGTGTGCATATATTATATATATATATATATATGACAGAAACAGTGTGTGTGTACATGTAGATACAGTTTGTGTGTGTGTATGTATATATATATATATATATATATATATATACATACATACATACATACTAGCTTAAAACTGCCTTATGAGGTGATATTTAAGCTAGCACCTGCAAAGGGTTCTTGATTGGGCCTTCATCACAATAGGTAGGGAGGAGTAGATGTGATAAGCAATAAGTTACAGAAGAACTCAAAATTGATCGCTGCATTTTAGCAATGCATTAATATTTAAGCTTACCTTTTTAAAAGTCTAATGTTAATTCTTCTGCCACCACTTAATTTAAAGACACTCTGATGTACGTAGGTCCTTACTTTCCATACACACAATTATTTTTAGTTCATGGGTGACTTTCACTGGATTTTGTAATTAATATTGGTTATCCACAAATTTATTTCTAAGTTATAAAAATAATTAATCGCATCAAAAATTTGCCACCAAAAAAAATCACATAAAAAAACAAAAAAAAAAAAAAACACAATTGCTGAAAACAATCGTAGTTATAAAAACTTGGGAATCCAAAATTTCAGAAATGTGGGTCTGGATGTTTTTAATTTGCTCACAGAGTCGGGCCTATTCCAAAATGGTATAATATGTTGGTCTACAGCCTCTAGGGGTAAAGTTGAGAAAGTGTGACACACTGACATTCATTTATTTTTTTATATGAGATATATATATATATATATATATATATATATATATATATATTTGGTTGGATAGATGTGAGTTTGTGACCCTGGGTTTCACACTTTAGCGATCGTCAGACAAACTGATTCATTTTTTTAAAAATTTGGGTTTATGTAGATTGCGTGTATTGGTGTTATTGTGGAAGTGGTGGGGGAAACTTCGTCGTTTTGTCAATGTACTAACGCAAACATCTATGTATGCAGACACATATACATACTTAGTCGTCCGTCAGGACTCATACATATATAAACATATGTGGGCATTTTCGGATATGACATATGTATGTATACGGGTGGTGTTGTGTCTATACATACGCATTTGTATGTTGAAATTTAAAGATTGGAAGTGTGGCGTGAATGTCTCGTGAATGTATACATGTCATATCTATCCAACCAAATATGTTAGCTCTATCTCTGATATTGAGCGCTTTCTAATAAGTATCGCGCATATAATATATAAATAATTATACATATATACAAAGAAATAATCACGCATAGAATCAATCAGCAATATTAATGCTATTATTGGCGACATCCATCGCTAGTAGTGTATAATGTATGCATTAAAATACTGTTAATCCATAGAGTGATGTGATCCTCATTTATAAAACTGTTGTCTGTTGTTTCCAGTTTATATTTTTTTAAAATGCAAGTACTTTCAAATAATCCTTTATTCATCGTCAGGCATATGTTTTCCTTATAAAATCTTATAAAACTTGGAGACGAAATAATTGTTTGTCAACCGAAAGATGTTTTTTTTTTGAGTATGTGCTATTATTGACGGTTGTGTACAATATTGAACGTGCAAAGACGCAACGCTAAGTTTTCAAAATTTTAAGTGAGAATTTTATTTGAACTTTTCTTGTGATGTGGTAAATCAACGTATTCTATTATACATATATATATTTATTTATATACACTTTTCATACATACATATATTATATAAATAATTAGCAGCATTTGCTAGCCAACTGTAGGGCTAAGAAATTTACCAAACCCCTCTATTTTATCTCCGTCTTTTATCTGGTTTTTACCTAGTGCATTTGCTACTGACTAGATAACCCTTTGCTTTATCTGTTATTTCTTCAATGCTCTGTGTCTCCCCTCCTCCACCATTTTAGCACTTTAACTACTTCAGTATTTCTTCTTTGTG